GATTGTACATCTAACTAATGAAGTAATTGGTATAATAATGTATTAAAATTATCAGATCATACTATTAATATGATTTATTAATACATAAATATTACTTTTGATGATTTTTTTTTTAAATTGAGTGGGGGTGCCATATGGAACTCTTACCAAAAGGCCTGAATGACAAAGTTCATATGTCATTGGACTACTTCTGTCCTCGCATATAAATGAAAATAATTTTTTTTACAAATTTATTAAATCTTTTTGTTTTTGTAATATGAGAAAAAACTCTCCAGACTAAAATATTTTTGCACATATAGGGCACTTAAATAGCACCAAAAACTATAATAGCTTTGGAAATAGTTTTATTTGGTTATTGTAACTTGTAAATGTAAGGGAATAATTGTCATATAGCATTTACTAATTTGGTGCTATATAAATTAAAAGTGCTGTATTCAGACATAACAAACATAAAGTAATAGTACAAAATAGCTTAGTCTACAACCATAACATATTGCATAGTGCTATTAGTATTAGTACCAGAGGCATCAGAACCGAGGGTACTACAGCACTCCCACTTTTATATACTTGACTTAACGTTATATAGCAACTGTAAATTATATTAATTTTCTGGCGGGTATGCCCCCAAATGCTCCTAGATCGAGCTTTTTTAGTTTTTCTCACTTTTAGTAGCTTCTTATACTTTCAATTTACATGTTTAGCAAAGCACCCCTACTTTGCAACTCTTACCTACACATCTGAGTACCATAGTACTTCTACTATGCATTTAAAATATTGACCCTTTACTTTAGTAGTAATACTAATAGTAATAGTAGTACTAAGTACGCAATACTTGTATCGTTCTCCTTTGAAATTCAAATTGAATTACTACTACTATTAATAATATTAAGTTTGTATCATGTTATTAGTAGTAGTAGCAGTTACTTTTAGTACTAGTACTATTAAATGTGCTTACTTCCTCCTTTTCTCAGCCCTTATCTTTTGGACAATATAAATGCCGGCTCCAACTACTGCAATTGTTGCAACAAATTTACAAATCCTACCGAACGTTTTTCCATGAACGTGCTTGAATATTTCGGCATGCAATTTAACTGTATCCCATGGTTCAGAAAAATATCCACGTGAAATAATGGCTGGCATTCTGGAAACAAATCCTTATTCAATAATTACAACTCCTAGGTACAAAGCTAAATCAACCACTTCGATTTCGTCACACAGCACCCTGTCGACGCTAATTTTATAAATAAAATTACCATATGACACTCACGTGATATACCTTTCACAAATAGAGGGTTTTTATGTTCAATGATTGCAATGTTTATATATATATATACATATAAAAGAGAGAATATTCATTTTGGGACCTATTACTCGCACTAATAGGGTTTATTGTAAACTAGGCCGTTCAAGTAATCACTAATTGAAAATAATGCTTCATTTCTGAAACTAAGTTTGAAATTCGCAACTTCCAAAATTCTTTACCTTACCCACCTCTGAAAATGTACATTCTTTTTTTATATCTATAGATGATATAGTTGCACATGAAGTTTCTGGTTGTCAGTCATCACCATCGCATGATTCCATTTTTTGCAGTATTTTGTAAACATTTTCTTAGTTTTTGTTTTGGGGCCAATCACACCAACACATTTCACTGCATTTCTTCCCGCATTCCAGAAAGACCACTTCAGATCCCGACATTTTCCTCCTGAGGATCCACACTGCACAACCTCAATTATTCTTGCAAGTTACATTTCAGTAATTGTAAATGTCAAGTATTCAGTCCTGCCATGGCCTGCCGATGATGATAGGAACAGGTTAGGTTTGTCAGCATTCTTGCATACCAAAGCTTGATAGTTGACACAATTTCTGTGCAGAAGAAGGGCTCCTCTGGTCAGGGACAGCTTTTCGCTCTCTTCTTGGTACAGAAAGTGGTAGGTCTGGCTTTTCCCACATCAGTAAGTCTTGTGGCTGAGATGCAAGGCTGGTACAAGTATATTCTCCCAGTGTAGCACACACACCAAAAATAAATATGAAGACTTATAACGCTACAAATGTAGATAATCTGTTGTGTAGTTTTGTACTTAATAACAAAACAAACGAATTCATTATTTGAAGCTAGGTGAAGGCTTTAATAAAAGTTTGTATTGTCTGTAGCTTTGATCAACGGAATGCGTCAAATTTCTCAAGTAATTTTTTCCTTTGTCTGTAAATCAACCAATAGCAGTGTGCCAATAAAATTGTGAAACACTGGCAGTGCTAACAAAATGTCACATCTCAAAATGACGTATATTGCCGAATGATGACATGTATTTTATCTAAACCTTAGAATATATGGAAGTGCCAGTACAAACATGTTTGTGTCTGGTGATGTAATGTGGAAAGTGTGACTTGATGGGCGTGTAGAGCATAGAGAATAAGGGAGAAATGTGCCTGCTTCTTCTTGACAGGTTTTTAGATGTTCTATATTTCCATGTGTTTTCTTGTATTTATTGCCAACTATTCAAAATACAATTTCTGTCTGGTCACTTTGAAAAATGTCTGCATAGATACTCAGAAGTATATAATATCCAACTATCTTCTGTTCTACTGGTGTTTAATAGGTGTTCTGATTGGTGTAGAATAACTGATGCCACTTATAAAAGTGGCGCCGAGTCTTTCTCTGGTGATCTGATTCAGAGATTGTTTTTACATTGTAGTGGTTAAAAGTAAGTGCAAACTATGGTAGCAATGTGATAGATTTGCTTCTGTTTGAGCAAATGTACGATTTAATTCTTGAGGTGTTCCCTACTTTAGAAGCCAATTCCTGTACAACACCATAGCATCAATAAAAATAACAGCATTTGGAATAAAGAAACATTTCCTTGACCACTGTCTGTTTCTGTCAAATATTCTAAAATATGTAATAATTTACTCCCATTGGTGGATGGAAGTTCTAATGCATCTGGTCCAAAGATAGCATGATTTTCTCTCTGTTTGTTTCAGAGCATAATCATGCCACAACAACCATTCTGTCAAAACAAGACCTGTTATCTTACAGTTCAACAGTTTTGCTTTGTGTATTAACAGTTTACAGTCTGTAAATGCTTGTAATTCATCATTATCACTGCCTAAAATGTTTTGCTTTGTCTTCAGGTATAAATGCTTTCTCTTATGGGCTTGGAAAAATATTTTAATTGCTTCAGCTTCAATGGAAAATCTTAATATTTCAGATGCAGCTCTCTGCAATGCTGTTAGTTGAAGTAATGCCATCGTAAGCTTTCATATTTTTGTGGCCCGGCATGGCCAGGTGGTTAGGGCGCTCGACTCGCAATCTACGGGTCGCGAGTTCGAATCCCCGTTACACCAAACATGCTCGCCCTTTCAGCCGTGGGAGCGTTATAATGTGACGGTCAATCCCACTATTCGTTTGTAAAAAAGATAGCCCAAGAGTTGGCAGTGGATGGTGATGACTAGCTGCCTTCCCTCTAGTCTTATACTGCTAAATTGGGGACGGCTAGCGCAGATAGCCCTGGTGTAGCTTTGCGCGAAATTCAAAACAAACAAAACATATTTTTGTTTTAATGCATGCTAATCCCTGATGGTGCAGCATTTCTTCACACAGAAATTTTTTTTGAAATTTGTGCTACATATCTTAGTCTGCTTTTTGAAGGTTGTATGTATTTATATAATGCATTCTAGCTCACGTTGTGCATACTTCAGGCATCGGTATACTGCAGGCGATTGTGGCTAATGAAGTATAAGCACAACTTCTCAAGGGAGACAAAATGAAAAGCCAGAACTAGTGGCCTGTAGCTCTAACGTATTTAGAAAGAGACGAAGTCCATAGGAATAAGGAAAACAAGAGATAGAACCATAAAAATACCCCACTTATATTAATATACCCAGCCTGAAGTCTTAGTAAGGTATCCACAATTCCATAATTTACATACTTCAACCAAAACTTTACATATAACTCTAAGTCATCTCAAGCCAGTCATATAGGTTTCTGTATTACCTTTTTGAACAAACTAACTTCTGAGAAGTACATACAGAAACACACACATGTCAGATTGAGACCTAAGAACAAATGCTACAGTATATAGCCTTTACCTGTGTAAAAGTATTAGTACATGTTTGAGACATTTAGATATCTTATAAACACAGACATGATTCATTACATGTAGAAATTGCATAGAAATTTAGGAGAACTGTATGAATTAAATATGCTTTAATGAATGAATAATTTAGTAGCTGTTTCTGCTACGAGAGCCCACACCTCTCTTTATATCAAGGTTTTCCTATAAGTAAACATTAATGATAGAATTATAAAGTTAATTACAGGTCGTAAAATGTTGCATACATTTTTCTCGGGTGACATGCGCAATGTCATGACATCTACACAAAGACACTTAAGACAGGAAAAATGGATAACTCAAACTCTAGCAGCACTGACAAGTCGAAATAATTTGGTTGTTTGTAATTAAGCACAAAGCTACACAATGGGCTATCTATGCTTTGCCCACCACGGGTATCGAAACTCGGATTCGAGCGTTGTAAGTCAGCAGACATACCGTTGTGCCACTGGGGACCAAGTCGAAATAGAAACTCACATAACTAGATAAAATAAATACATCAATTTCGAAAATAAAATCAAAATCTAATAATCAAAATCACAATAGAACATCCAAGTTAAATCGTTAAAATACCAAAGCTGTCTATTTTTAAGATAAAATAAAAAGCACATTGTATTTAAAAATATGAAGAGAATTAAGAGATAAAAAACAAATTTTAAGCCTATTACAAATGAAAAATTCAAAATGGAATTCAAAAGAAAATTCAGATTAACTCAAAAGCACAAAATAATAATAACAACATAACACAAGATACACGAGATTGATGATGTGTACATGTTTATCTCTCAAATGCAATTGGTTCAGGAAGTTCACAAGATTCTTGGCTTCATTAAGAAGTTAAGATTTCAAACTCCAAGTTAACTCGACCATGATAAGTCAAAAGTTCAGTTAAGAATGTAAGATTAAATGTTACAACCAATCAGGCCACGACTCGATTCTTTCTAGGAAAATGTCACTTAAATGTAGCAATGTGCCGCGGATTACGTCATTTGTGGTGCAGGCACTTGCCACATTGATGTCAGGACAGGATTGTTCCAGGCAATAGTGAATATACTATTCACAAGTCTTTGTCTAGGACAATGCACTTGTAGCTGTCTTAGACAGAACCCTGACTGCACTGACCACTGGTAACAGTCACAAATTAGCGAATTGAGGTATTTCCCATGCACGCGGGTTCGTCCACCATTGTCTGGTTCATAGTGCCCATGTCCAGTGGAGAAGGGGGTGGGTGGAGAGTGAAACTATAAGAAAGAACCTTATACTGATTAATAAAATTTGGTCAATTACATTACAGCCAGTGAACAACGCTTTTAACCTTGAAGGTTTCATAACTTGTTTACTTACAACTCCAGTTTGCCTTTGATACAAATTAAACTTAATCTGAATAATAATTGAAATCACCTTTGATTTCACAAATATATCCAAAATTATATTTAGATAGTCCACATAAAAATTCTGTCATAACACCACAATTAAACGTAGTTAACAAAAAGTTCGTGAATTATGACTACCTTGTTTAGAAATAATATTTAGACAAAACATTAAGTAATACCCACTGTGGTAAATTCAGATCGAATCAAGTTAACATTAGAACAATGGGATAGGTTAACTTAACAGGGGGGTCCCACAACATATTTATTACAAAATAATACTGAATCTCCGAATAACTGAGTCTGAGAAAGAAAGAGACTGGATACAAAGTACTTCACAAAATGAATCCTCTTTATTCAAATAAACAACAAAGTGTGTGTACTTGCTGTTATTAAACGTGGATATATGTTGGATATCTTCAACTGATTAGGGCCAAATTAATCTACCAGACTGTTTTAGTTCAATGTTTCTTACTTTGTAGGTAACATTAGATTTACACAAAGTGACTATACCCGCACGAACTTCAAACAGGCTCCTAGCTTGGCTTCATATATCAAACAAAGTATAATGTTTTCAAACGAGACTCAAAATTCGATCGATTTCGAATAGTTGACTATTCTTCTTCAGAAGAATTCTTTATTCCCCTGAAGAAGAATAGTCAACTATTTGTAAGCGATCGAATTTTGGGTCTAGTTTGAAAACAACACAACTTTTGTGTGTGATCCTGTGTGCTAACTTC